TAACATTAGCTAATGCACATATGTACCAGGGGGTTCTATGTTATATATAATGACAAAATAAGAATGAAACCTTAGGTCGTACCCATCTTCTCACTGGTTTCCTTCCATCATTACAAAGTTGAATTTGAAAAAAACAAACAAACAGATATTAGTAAAAAAGAGAAAAACAATCCGTTTTATTTTATACATACAAAGGACTGTTGCTATGTCTCCTCTCATTGGATCGCTATCTTTCACCTTTATGTCTTATAATAACAAGGCAAGACACACCTTAGTAACACTTAGATAAACAAATTATTTATATTGATGTCTTTTATCCTGCTATCACTCACATATATATATATATATATATTTGTTTGTTTAAACACATAAATATTGGTACAAAGGGGCACCGAATACATATGCGCCACACAAAAGAATGTCATTTCACTTAATTGTGTGAGGGCTGTGATACTGCCCAGGTGCCCAGACTGAAGCAGGTGGTTTTCTTAGGGGGCCACACCCCGAGCTTTCGACTTAAAGATCTGACCCAGAAGGCAATGGAGCATCGTAAGGAGATGCAGTCACATGGTAGTCGGTGACCAACAATAGGTTCAAACGCCATTTGTTTCCTCAGGGTCATGGATCCAATATACATCATCGATTTGGAATCAGGGTTTCCAAATCCCCTATGTGAATCCTGCATATCCACCAACCGGTTAAAGCGCTGGACATTCGCTTTTCGTCCTCTCAATTTCGTAAACAGTGACGCTACGAGAAGGCAGTGAGTATGACTTCCCTGGTAGAGGATGTAAACGCTTGGCCATGTGAGAGCGTTTGGAGAGGAGAGCGGACTCTCCACACTCTCGGCTGTACCAGGGCATTTGGGGGCTTTTATATATATATATATATATATATATATATATATATATATATTCACTTTAAATGTAATATCGAGGATAAACGGATATTAGTTTTATCAGCTACTACACTGAGAACACCTGTTACAACGTCAGTGGACATTCATGGTCACTATTTTATTGTTACAATGAAGAGTGTTTTGTATGTATGCAGAAAGACAGCAGAAGCTTTACAATTAAAGTATCTAGTTCAGCATTCAACACAATTCAAACAAACAATCAACCGCCAAGGTACAAGAAATCATTTTTATCATTCCAAGAATAGAATATTCTGGATTTTATCTCTTATGTGCACTGTTGAGGAATTTCAAACTAAGATGAATGAACTTTCTAGTGCCCCATTTGAGCCTGCAGCCCATTTTTACAAAATAGTTTTTAAATGAATCATATTATTAAGAACATAAAAATTCACAAATGATCGATAACTGAGTAGTAGTGGTCAGTATCGTGTTTGTCTAAGCTTGTGGTTCCTAGTCGATAAAGACAAGACAAATATGACATTAGTTACTGTTCAGTGATCAATCAATTGTAAACATCTTATTCCTACAGAATGTCAGTCATCATCTGAATAGCGTTTAATAATGTAAAGCTGAGTTATGCGGGTAGTAAAAATTGCAAGGAATATCAGTTGCCTCAAGATTGCAGGTACTCCTTGCTGACGAGGATTAACTAGCACGAAATTAAGGTTCAAACTTTCCTGTAGATTAACTCTAACCAGAGAACAATACGAAAATTCAATATCTAAATAGAGTAAAATTGAATCTTTAATAGTAGATAACGGTACAATCCGGTACTATGCAGTTCTACTAATAACCGATTCATTAATATTCATCTAGAATAAAGCTAATCCATGACGCAAACAACTTTCAGGCTAGAAATATTATATAGTTGAGATCATGAGTCAATTGTAGCTAGACCAACATCGAAAACCTGGAAGCACTGGATGGCCGTTTCGTCCTATTGTGGGACTCCTCAGCAGTGTGCATCCACGATCCCACCTCTCGAGATTCGAACCCAGGACTTACCAGTCTCGCGCCAGAGCACTTAACCGATAGATCACTGAGCCAGCATCCAACGCTGTTGATGCGCACTGCTGAGGAGTCCAACAATAGGACGAAACGGCCATCCAGTGCTTCCAGGTTTTCGATGGTGGTCTAGCTACAATTGACTCATGATCTCAACTATATAAGATTACTAAAAATCTCCACAAAACCCCCTTCTGATAGAAATATTATGATAATTATTATCTAAATTATAAAACATTGATAAAAATTAGGAAGATGTTTACATTTCGAAATAATAGAGGCGACCATCTTCTATAGTTGCAGTCAGTATGTATATGTGCATCTGTTCTTTGTGTATGCGTGTGTGTATATCACAATCACTGTCATTCATCATCATTGCCAACCTGAAGTTGTCATCTAGCAACAACATTACCATCACCATAGTCACTAGAAAAAATTTGATTACACAGGGATATAAGGAAGTGAACTTAATACATGCCCACCAACACTCAAAACCAAATCATAAGAATACAATTGAATGAGAATAACAAACGGTCAAAAAAAAGAAGATGATGGCAAACAGAATTACTTTCAGAAGGGGTTTTGTGGAATGACTTTCTATGAAATAATTTATGAATGGGAGAAGAAGAAAAGATGAAAACTCTTCATAAACTAAGTTACTTTCTTTCATATTGTATCATCATTACTGTTGCCAGTTATTACCAGGACAACACAAATCACATATATAAAGAAAAAAACCCTATTAGATATGAAAAACAATATTAAGGTATACACACAACCATCCATCTGTAACCACAACAACCAGAAAAAGAACTAGTCTAGAATTCAATAAACAAATAAGTAAATAAATAACAAAACATTGTTTGACCTTAATTCACTATACACATATAATTTTTAATTTATGGTATAATTGGATTGTAACTAACAGTGGAATGAAGAATGTTTCATCCAATTGGAGACTCATCAGCTCAATCAGTCAGTCAGTCACAACGTAGAACTTCGTACATACGTACGTACATCAGTTCGAGTTGCCATACCACATTAGCACAGAGATGCAGTTGTCGATTCAGATCCTCATCAGCTCGATGTATCTGAGTCCCGATTTTTATACAAATACTGAAATAATGAGGTGATATTGGAAGAGACAGGTGCTGGAAAATATCAACATACTGAAATGCTGATACATTCAACTGATGAATTTCATTGAACTATAAAAATTAAACTTGAATAGGTAGATATAAATGAACGGAGAATAAAACTCGTTGGTAGTCAGTCAGTCAGGTACAACGTAGGACCAGATACATTTATGCATCGGTCCAAGTTGTCATACCTCGTTAGCACAACAAGATGGACACCGAATTCATAGAAATAATTAATTTAGTGGTGGTAGTATATAAAGATAGGTTGTATATAAGGATATAGTATAGGAAAGAAGAAAGATGTGAAGCGATTTTAATCTCAAGGTTTAAGGGAAGATAAAGAGTGTATACACCGACGCCAGTGTGATCGATTATGAGCCATGTCACCCAAAGTCTCCAACCATTGATTACGATAGTCACGTGGACCCTAACCAAGTAGTCTGCATCTACCAACATGGCTCAGACTAGAAGTTAGTGACTTCAAGCACTGATGCCACGTTTTGGTTTGGCCGCCCCTAACTCTCTTCCAACAATCCCCTACACTAGTCAGCATTGCGCGTCGTGGTAATCGGTGTTCAGGCGTACGTAACACGTGGCCTAACCATCTCAGTCGATGAAGATTCATCACCTCATCAACTGATTTACCATCGTTCCCTAATACCCTCTGTATAACCTCATTATTGCTTACCCGCTGATCCCAGCAGACGTGAGCAATATTTCTAAGGCATCTGTGGTCAAATACTAGTAACTTACGAGTATCTTCTACTCTTAATGGCCATGTTTCACAGCCGTGAAGTAAAACAAAACGGTCTGCTGCGCAGTATACTCGTTCCTTAATTGATAGACGGATATCTCGTCTTCGCCATAGGTGACAACGTAAGTTGGCAAAAGCCAAATGAGCTTTTTGAATCCGTGCTTAGATTTCGTCAGACACCAACCCATTAGGGCAGATCAGACTTCCAAGATAAGTGAAGTTGTCGACGCGTTCGACTAATTCACTCCCTATCCTTAGTTCGGGTGTTGACGCATGCCAGTCCTGGAGTAACAATTTACATTTAGATGGGGAGAAAACGCATCTCAAACATCCTCGCATTGTTACTCAGTTCTAACTTGTCGGCAAGACTGATTATTTCTGGAAGTATGTGAAGGGCTCACATTCTTTTTCTGCTACTCGATGAAGAGACATTCCTTCTTAGGAGAGATAAGCTTGAAATAGGATTAGTATTGATAGCATCATCGGTTTAAGAATGTAACCACGTCCAAGAGACGACTGGTTAAAACAGATCACTAAAGTTATATATATATATATATATATATATATATATAATGCAATATATTTCGGGGGAAGAAAGTTTTCTAATCCTCCCCTCATTCTATAAGAGGGCAAAGTTACTGAAAATGTTAGTTATCAATTGGAAGTAAGTGTCTCATCCATGGCTCAAAATCGTTTGCAGTGGTATAGGTGCATTCATTCTTTGTCTTTTCTCAAATTCTCAGCTTCTAAGTTCTTCTTAACTTGTTTTTTTTCAATTTCACTGATTTATATTCTTCTCTCGAATCGTATCTTCGACGCCTAATCTTCTCAATTAACACTCATACTGTTGCTACCTTTACCACTCTGGGACTTGCCCTAACAATTTCATATCTCTGTGATAATGCGGTATGGTAACTTAAACTGATGTACACATGTACCAGGGTTTTAGGCAGCGTTTGACTGATTAACTACATTCAGTTGACGAGTCCCAAGTAGAAGCGGATCCTGGATTGCACTGCTAGTTACCATCCATCTCTGCTTATAATAACTAGCTGACTATTATATCCAATTTAATTCGGTTAGATAATTACGATAAGCAAATCTAAATATCACATCGGGATTCAATACTATATCTAGAACAATAGAGCTGTTGATTAAATCATCAAAAAGTATAAACATTCACCTTGATCTGATCAATAAAATCAATTAATCGATATTTATCAATTGATTTACATGGTCGAATAATCCAACGATCCCATAAACTGAAATATTTTCCATTTGGTAAACGTATTTGTCGACACAGTCCTGGTTCACTGAACAAAAGAATCGGTAATGCTAAATTAAGAAAACTATTTCTAGATTTTAGTTGAATTAAACATTGTTCAGGATCATTTATTGTTCTCGTAGTCGCCGTTATTGTATTTATTTCCTCTTCAGATGCAAACGAACCAACATGACCACCATTAACATCATATTGATTATTGTTAATTACATATTTAAGTAATTCTAAACAGACTAAACCTGCAACAGTAGCAGTTGTTGTCGCTATAGCTGGTACTATTCGTCCAGCGATACGTTTAACAACATGGCGAGCTGTAATCGGTAGACTGTACATTGTAGCACGTAAATTCTACAACATATATATACAAAAAAAAAGAAATAAAAGTTTATTGAAACATTTGACCTGAGAGAGAGGAGCACAAAAGTTTATATGACGAAGAACCTGATAATAAGAAATTGAAGTAAATTTCTAATTGAATGAATGCTTCAACACTTTCAAAGTGTTCATCCATAGACTGATAACATCTACAACTTATTACTACTAATGCGTGAATGGAAGAGGAAATGGAAGAGCTTCGAAAGACGCTCTGGCTGCTTAGAGATATTTGACGGGAAACCCTGAACCTCAGGTTTCATATTATTTGGTACTCGTCAGCAAGATGTACTTGTAATCTTGAGGGGACTGATGCTTGTCAGCAGATTTAGTCAAACGACATGCAGCTTTCTGGTCAGAAATTTTAGTACTGAGCTATTGGTACGAAGGAACACCAATATATATATATATATATATATATATATATATATATATATATATATATATATATATATATATATATAAGCCACACAAGCCATTAGATGTATGTGCGTTGAGACACGATTCGGGTGACAAATCAGAACAGGTGGTTTCATTAGGGGGTCACACTCTGAACCCTTGACTTACAGGTCTATACCACAAGATAGTGGAACAACGTTAGGAGATGCAGTCCCATGGTAGCCGGTGACCTACATAAGGTTCATACTCCATTCGTTCTCCCAAAATCCTGGAGCCCATGTGGAGCATTGGTTTGGAATAAAGGTTTTTCAACTTCTCTAGGTGGATCTTCCATACCCACCGACCCCGTTTAAGCGGTGAACATTCGCTTTTCTTCCTCTCTATTTCTTAAACAATAAACCCACCACGAGAAAGCAGTAAGTAAAACTTTTCTGATAGTGATTATATACGCGTGGCCATATGAGGGCATTTCGGGAGATAGAGTGGACTGTCCCTACCTTCAACCGTACCATCAACATAGAGCATGGCACAAATGTGTATTAGCACAAGTTTACGTATTAACGTTATCACCGCAAGATAAAATTAACAAGCTGATTAGTAAAGGAGTTAGAATAATTGTACTACAAATGATAGTGATAAGGGCTAAGTATTGAGAAAAGAGTTCGAAAATACAATGAAAAAGTATTTGTGTAGGAATAAAATGAGACTAAAATTCCGCCTGTAGCTCTTCTAGAGTTACTGCCGGTCCCAAGCCCGGGTAAAGGAGGAGGGTTGGGCATGGGGTTAGAGACCCCATCCCGTAGAAAAGCTAACTCGTTAAAAAACGCTAACCCGAAAAAATAATTCAAACCATTTAAACTCTGCCCTGGGAGTTGAAGGAATAATTATGACGTCTCATGATGAAAGCCGAAATTCTTCGGAAGTCACGAGACCGATGCACCTTCTAACAACCAGAGCAACACTCTTTATAGGTACATGGAACGTTCGGACAATGTGTGAGACAGGAAAGACCAGCCAAATAACAATGGAAATGAGGGGATACAACTTGGCAGTACTCGGAATCAGCGAAACCCATTGGACACAAACTGGACAACAAAGGCTAGGTACAGGAGAGATGCTGCCGTACTCCGGTCACGAAGGGGAAAATGCTCCACACACTCAGGGAGTTGCTCTAATGCTGTTCAAAGAAGCACAAAATGCACTTGTGGGATGGGAATTTCATGGACCCAAGATAATCAAAGCATCATTCAGAACAAAGAAGCAAGGGATCACAATGAACGTCATCCAATGTTATGCACCCACCAATGATAGCAACGACGATGATAAAGATCAGTTCTATGAAAGGCTGCAATCAATTATAGAGCAGTGCTCACGAAAGGACCTCACAATCCTGATGGGAGATCTAAATGCTAAAGTTGGAGTGGACAACACAGGATATGAAGATATAATCGGACGACATGGACTAGGAAAAAGAAATGAAAATGGGGAGAGACTTGCAAACCTATGTGCTTTCAACAAATCGGTTATAGGCGGCACAATATTCCCACACAAGCGCATACACAAAGCTACATGGATCTCACCGGACCACACCACAGAGAACCAGATTGATCACATCTGTATCAACAAAAAATTCCGAAGATCAATGGAAGATGTGAGGACCCGGAGAGGAGCTGACATAGCTTCAGATCACCACCTGGTTGTGGCCAAGATGAGACTGAAGCTAAAGGAACACTGGACAACTGGACAAACTGTACTACAAAGGTTCAATACAGCCTTCTTTCGAGATACTGACAAGCTCCATGAATTCAAGATAACTCTCAACAACAGGTTCCAAGCTCTACAGGATCTACTGAATGAACAAGAAACTACTTTGGAGGACAACTGGAAAGGGATAAAAGAAGTACTAACTTCAACGTGTCAGGAGGTTCTTGGTCCTAAGAAGCATCATCACAAGGAATGGATCTCTATGGGAACCCTGGACAAAATTCAAGAAAGGAAGAACAAGAAACTAGCAATTAACAACAGCCAAACACGAGCAGAGAAAGTCAACGCACAAGCAAACAGGGAAGTGAAGAAAAGTATTAAAGCCGACAAGCAGAAATACATGGGAGAACTAGCAACGACGGCGGAAAAAGCTGCAAGAGAAGGCAATATGAAACAACGAAGAAATTGGCAGAGAAATATAGCAAACCAGAGAGACCAGTCAAAGACAAAGAAGGAAAGACAATCACTGAGATTCAAGAACAGAGGAAAAGATGGGCAGAATACTTCGAGGAACTGCTGAATAGACCAGCCCCATTGAATCCACCGAACATCGAAGCAGCACACACAGACCTTCCAATAGATGTTACTCCACCAACGATCGAAGAAGTCAAGATGGCCATCAGACAAATCAAAAGTGGGAAGGCGGTAGAACTTGACAATATACCAGCAGAAGCACTGAAGTCAAACATTGAAATAACTGCAAACATGCTTCACCTTCTATTCAAAAAGATTTGGGAAGAGGAACAAGTGCCAATGGACTGGAAAGAAGGATATCTCATCAAGATACCAAAGAAAGGAGATCTGAGCAAATGTGAGAATTACAGAGGCGCCAGTTTGTTATCAGTACCAGGAAAAGTTTTCAACAGAGTGCTGCTGAATCGGATGAAAGACGCAGTAGACGCCGAACTTAGGGATCAACAGGCTGGATTCCGTAAGGATAGGTCATGCACAGACCAGATTGCGACACTACGGATCATCGTTGAACAATCAGTTGAGTGGAACTCATCACTATACGTCAACTTTATTGACTATGAGAAGGCGTTTGACAGCGTGGATAGGAGGACATTATGGAAACTTCTTCGGCACTATGGAGTTCCTGAAAAGATTGTTAACATTATCCAAAACTCATACGATGGACTACAGTGCAAAGTGGTGCATGGAGGGCAGCTGACAGATGCATTTCCAGTAAGGACCGGAGTCAGACAAGGCTGTCTACTCTTCCCATTTCTCTTCCTTCTAGTGATTGACTGGATTATGAAGAATTCGACATCTGAGGGGAAATACGGAATACAATGGACAGCTCAGAATTAATTAGATGATTTGGACTTCGCAGATGACTTAGCCCTCCTCTCTCATACACACGAACAAATGCAGATGAAGACCGCAAATGTAGCAGCAGCTTCCGCATCGATAGGCCTCCACATTCACAAAGGAAAAAGCAAGACTCTCAAATGCAAGACGGAGAACACCAACCCAATCACACTTGATGGCGAAACTCTGGAAGAGGTGGAAACATTCAAGTACCTGGGGAGCATCGTTGATAAACAAGGAGGATCGGATGCAGATGTAAAGGCAGGATTGGCAAAGCAAGGGCAGCATTTTTACAATTGAAGAACATATGGAATTCAAAACAACTTTCAACCAATTTCAAGGTCAGAATACGAACGTCAAGACAGTCCTACTGTATGGAGCTGAAACGTGGAGAACTACTACGGCCATCACCAAAAAGGTACAAGTATTTATAAACAGTTGTCTACGCAAAATAATCAACATCCATTGGCCGAATACTATCAGCAACAGCGTTTTATGGGAGAGGACAAACCAGCTTCCAGCTGAAGAGGAAATTAGGAAAAGACGTTGGAAGTGGATAGGTCATACATTAAGAAAATCACCAATTTGCATCACGACTCAATCCCTAACTTGGAATTCGGAAGGGAAGCAGAGAAGAGGAAGGTAGAAGAACACACTATACCGGGAAATAGATGCAGATATGAAAAGGATGAATAGCAACTGGAAAGAACTGGAAAGGAAGGCTCAGGACAGAGTTGGATGGAGAATGCTGGTGAGCGGCCTATGCTCCTCGACGAGGGGTAACAGGCGTAAGTAAGTAAGTAGTTAATAATGAGACTAAGGATCAAGAGTAAGGGAGAGATTAAATGTATCTGAGCCATAGAAACCAATTCTGGGCTGTTAACGAAGAAAACTAAGCAAATATCAATCTGAACTAATAGTTAACAACTTCATTGTATGATGTCACAGTTTTATTTGGAATGTATGAATCATCTAGGTGGATTTTACAATATGTTTATTGGACTCTGTATACAACAGTAGGTCCTACAGGATCACTTCAATATCAAGTGAATGTACTATTTTAAAAATAACATGAGAAATATATCGAACATATACAAATTTGAAATGTGATTTTCATTATGAATCAATATCACAGTCAACAGCATACTATTAGAAAGTGTGCTTCCCGGCCGTTTCATTCTAGCTTGGGATCCCTTCAATAGTGGTATGTAAACATGAAGTCGAATCGATAGCCTTTAATTCTCAAGGAGAGAATAACAACACTGAATTCAAGAGATCGTTTGAAGTAATTTGAGTTTACACAGACATAAACTCAGATTTTTCCGGTTTTTCTCTCCTTCGGATTCATTCAAGAATGTTGCTTTACACTGACCCCTTTAGATTGTATGTTGAATGCGTGTGTAAACGTAAGATGTATTTGGTTCACGATCAGACAGATCTGCAGCCATCCCATTTTGTATAACTGACCAGCCATACTCATTGAACACATACAAATACACACA